AGTGCTGCAGATGCAGGTGGAAGAGTCTGGAAATGGGAGCAGAACTCAGGACCATGGCTACAAGTTCAAGACTGGAAAAAGTCTAAATGTCCATCTGACCATCGTCAGGTCCAAGAAGTTAGTGTTACTGATGGAACTAAGGCAAGCTTCTGTAGCTCCTTCAGATTAGCTCGTGACGATCAGTACGTATGTTTCCTGACATATCCTAAACTCAAACGCCATAAATATCAGAATGGTTTTTGTTCTACCAGCATCTGCTCTGATCTTGATGCTTTATAACCAGAGCTGTCAATTTACAGACAGCTACTTTCACCAATTGCTACGAAGATCTCAGATACGAGCAGCAGAAAGGATGTTCCTCTGAAGGGCGTCCAGGCTCAGTCTCAGAGACAGGATGAGCAGTTCAGTCACTCAGGAGGAAAATAGAGCTGCTGGTCCTTTACATCTAAAGGACGTCTGGTTAGGACGTGTCCATGACGAGGCCTGCTCTGCCTGTGAACTGGATGTGCTGCAGAACATGAGTGGACTGAGGATTCTCCCAGCTACTGGCAATTACACTAGAAAAACATCAAAATGACAGTTTTATTCTCCTGAACAAAGGGTTAGGGAGACATTTACACCTCAGAGGGTTTGTAAATGTAAATGTTACTTGAGGTAAATGTCTGGTAAAACCTTCGTGTCCTGGTCTCCAGGAGCTCATTGGTCGCATCCCAGATTGGATGCAGCTGCGTGTGATGCAGGCCCGGCTACCCGGGGACACCCTGGACGTACTGCTGCTGCACAAGCTGAGCCTCAGCACCCCCGTGGACCACAAAGACCTGCCCAGTGTCAACTTGACCTCCAGACCTCTCCGCCAGGTGATGTATGGGCTGCTGCTGGGCAAAGAGACGTCATATAAGGTGGAGGAGAGAGACAGAGAGGAGCTCCAGCTGAAATTCATCCGAATCAAACCAACCTTCAGTCGAGTGGCTCAGCGGCTCCAGCTGAACTCACTGCACGAGGTGAGTTTTAGTGGAAATGAACTGCGGTTTGTGTTTTTAACCCTCAGTGCAGCAAGCTAACTTTAATGTCTGTCACAATGTCGTTTCAACTCTTCGTCCGGCTGCCTCGTGGCCCCAGGCGCAGCTCTCTGAACGTCTGGAGGTCTTACTCGAGGCTCTCGGGGTGAAAGAGGAACTTCTGAACGAGCTGCCGCCTCAGCTGCGCCTCCTAGTGGCTGTGACCTGTTACTGGTGGAGCAGAGCTCGGCCTCGTCCGGACCTGAAGCTGCTGAAGTCGCTGCTGCTGGGAATGAACCTCAAAGACACATCGCGACTCAGCGCAGGTAGGAAACGCAACCAGAGGAGACGTTACCAAAGCCTGCAGTTCCTCTGGTGTCCAGCAGAGGCAGCAGTGAGTCAGTCCCCATAGAGTCCCATGTTAAAACAGCAGAAATAAACATCTTTACAGCCTGATACACAAACTGCTCTGTTCTCGGACAGTGCTCACCTGTTTGAACTGGATTAAGGCTAAAGGTTTGCATCATTAGCAGCAGAGACGTGTGTGTTCGGCCCGTGGAGTGTGTCGTTGATATTATTACCTGTGAAATAATCTCCAGGCTTCAGTCCAGAAATATCAACCGTGTTAGTCTGTTTTACGTTACACGACAAAGAAAGGTTCAAATCTACGTTTCTGAAGATAAAATCAGTTTTTAAACTTTGATTCTTCTGATCTTAGTTTTTATTATTATGTTTAGTTGAAAGTTTTTCTTCTTTCAGTGCTGCAGAAATCTTTAAAAATGTTTCTAAATAAGTCCCTCTGTGTGTGTGTGTGTGTGCTTTGCAGTTGTGCAGGCTCGCTGTCATCAGAAGCCTGATGTGGGCGTGGCTCACGCCTTCAGCCAGTGGCAGGTGTGCCTGAAGGACAGCATGCACCTGAACCAGCTGCTGGGCCTCCCTCTGCCTGAACCAGACGTCGCACGGTGAGACGTTCTCTCAAAGCGCTTGTTCACGAGGTCGTTTGTAGGCGTGTTTTTATTATGGCGTGCTGTAGAAACCGTTACATGACTTCCTCTATGTGACGTTTGTGTTTGTGGAGGCTTT